AATCACTGAGGCTCACAGAGCCAGACTAACGCTCACTCCCCATAGGGTTGAGTGTTAATCACTGAGGCTCACAGAGCCAGACTAAGGCTCCATCTCCCTTATAGTTCAGTGTTAATCACTGAGGCTCACAGAGCCAGACTAAGGTTCCCATAGGGTTCAGTGTTAATCACTGAGACTCAAAGAGCCAGACTAAGGCTCCTATAGGGTTCAGTGTTAATCACTGAGGCTCAAAGAGCCAGACTAAGGCTCCCTCTCCCATAGGGTTCAGTGTTAATCACTGAGGCTCATAGAGCCACACTAAGGCTCCCATAGGGTTCAGTGTTAATCACTGAGGCTCACAGAGCCAGACTAAGGCTCCCATAAGGTTCGGTGTTAATCACTGAGGCTCACAGAGCCAGACTAAGGCTCCCTCTCCCATAGGGTTCAGTGTTAATCACTGAGGCTCACAGAGCCAGACTAAGGCTCCCATAGGTTTCAGTGTTAATCACTGAGACTCACAGAGCCAGACTAAGGCTCCCACAGGGTTCAGTGTTAATCACTGAGGCTCACAAAGCCAGACTAAGGCTCCCTCTCCCATAGGGTTCAGTGTTAATCACTGAGTCTCACAGAGCCAGACTAAGGCTCCCCCTCCCATAGGGTTCAGTGTTAATCACTGAGGCTCATAGAGCCAGACTAAGTCTCCCCCTCCCATAGGGTTCAGTGTTAATCACTGAGGCTCATAAAGCCAGACTATGGCTCCCTCTCCCATAGGGTTCAGTGTTAATCACTGAGGCTCATAGAGCCAGACTAAGGCTCCCATAGGGTTCAGTGTTAATCAATGAGGCACACAGAGCCAGACTAAGGCTCCCCCGGCCATAGGGTTCAGTGTTAATCACTGAGGATCATAGAGCCAGACTATGGCTCCCTCTCCCATAGGGTTCAGTGTTAATCATTGAGGCTCGCAGAGCCAGACTAAGGCTCCCCCTCCCATAGGGTTCAGTGTTAATCACTGAGGCTCACAGAGCCAGACTAAGGCTCCCTCTCCCATAGGGTTCAGTGTTAATCACTGAGGCTCACAGAGCCAGACTAAGGTTCCCATAGGGTTCAGTGTTAATCACTGAGGCTCATAGAGCCAGACTATGGCTCCCTCTCCAATAGGGTTCAGTGTTAATCACTGAGGCTCATAGAGCCAGACTATGGCTCCCTCTCCCATCGGGTTCAGTGTTAATCACTGAGGCTCATAGAGCCAGACTAAGGCTCCCATAGGATTCAGTGTTAATCACTGAGGCTCACAGAGCCAGACTAAGGCTCCCCCTCCCATAGGGTTCAGTGTTAATCACTGAGGCTCACAGAGCCAGACTAAGGCTCCCTCTCCCATAGGGTTCAGTGTTAATAACTCAGGCTGACAGAGCCAGACTAAGGCTCCCATAGGGTTCAGTGTTAATCACTGAGGCTCACAGAGCCAGACTAAGGTTCCCATAGGGTTCAGTGTTAATCACTGAGGCTCATAGAGCCAGACTATGGCTCCCTCTCCAATAGGATTCAGTGTTAATCACTGAGGCTCACAGAGCCAGACTAAGGCTCCCATATGGTTCAGTGTTAATCACTGAGGCTCACACAGCCAGACCAAGGCTCCCTCCCATATGGTTCAGTGTTAATCACTGAGGCTCACACAGCCAGGCTACGGCTCCCTCCCATAGGGTTCGGTGTTAATCACTGAGGCTCACAGAGCCAGACTGAGGCTCCCATAGGGTTCGGTGTTAATCACTGAAGCTCACAGAGCCAGACTAAGGCTCCCATAGGGTTCAGTGTTAATCACTGAGGCTCACAGAGCCAGGCTAAGGCTCCCTCTCCCATGGGGTTCAGTGTTATCCAGCAGTGGATTGACCCTGGCTGATTGCAATCAAAAAGGACTCACCACACCAAAAAAAGACACGGATAAAGACCCCCCGTGTAGCCTGTAACAGACTGCAGGGCCAAGTGCTGTTAGCGAGTTTTGTTGGGGCTGTTGGTAAGGCCCCACCTCTGGGTGGCAAGCTCCAGGTTCAGCAGCAACGCCTCCAACTCCTCCTCTGAGTGAGCAGCTATTACCAGATCATCGGCATACATAACGTGGTTGAGCAATCGGGAGCCATCCCTTGAACGCACCCGGGCATCGATCAGCCTCCAATTATATCTGTACCAAATGGAGATTCCCTCGGTACATCCATTGAAGGCTTCACGAACTACGTGGTCAAAATAGATGTTAAATAATGTGGGAGCCAGAGGACATCCCTGTCACACCCCAAGGTGTACCGGGAATGGCTCTGACTCCCGGCCACGTAGTTTTACCCGGGCCTGCTCACTATCATGAAGGTCCTTAATGATCGTGAGCAGCAGGTCAGGGACTCCGAAAGCACGAAAAACAACCCAGAGCCCAGGCCTACTGATGGCACCATAGTGCCTTGACCAGGTCAATAAATCAGAGATGTATGTCTTGTTGGAATTTCCTACACCTCTGCTGTAGCAGACGGACAGAAAATATGGCATCTGTGCAGGACCGCCCTTTCCTGAAACCGCATTGGGGCTCCGCAAGCCTCTCCTCAGCGTGCCTGGCAAGGCGATGCTGAATAATCCTTGCCAGGACCTTTCCCAGTACACTGAGGAGTGAAATGCCCCTGTAGTTGTTACTACAGGGGCATTTCAGTCATCCTTCCAATCCAATCCTGCAGAACCCGTCCAGCGGTCCAGACTGTTGTTATGATGTCCTGTAGGGCAGTTTGTGCACAAACGCCATCCTCCCTCAGCATTTCGCTTGGGAGATCATCTCTGCCCGGTGCCTTTCCTGGTCTCAGACTCTGGATCGCTTTCAGTACTTCCTCAACAGATGGCACCTCAGCCAGCCACTCAGAGGGGGTGACTTTCTCCTCCAACATTTGAGGCACCGCAGCCTCAGCAGGGTCATCCTCACTTTGTGCCACGATATTTTCCTGGCTGAGGGATTTCCTCTCCCCCAGGACCTCACAGAAATGTTCAGCCATCCTGCAAACCTGTTCCTGGGGTTGTGCGATTGGATCACCGTTCTTTCCGCAAATGATGGTAATTGGTGTGGCGCTGCAGGTTACTTTTTTGATGGAGTTAAATAGAGATTTGTGATCGCGGTCCATTGAAGCAGACTCCATCTCCTCAGCAACCCGCGACCACCACCCATCCTTGCAGCGCCTCACGGCTCTCCGAACCCCTGAGCGAAGGCTGCGGTAAGCCTCCTCATTCTCTGACGTGGGATGCTGTAGCCGATGAGAGTGGGCCTGTCGCTTTTTCTCAGCCAGCTTGAACACCTCCTCTGTCAGCCAGGGTCTCTGGGGAGGTCTGGACCGCGTACCCAAAGCAGCCATTGCAGCTGCATGAGTCACAGTCCTAAACCTCGCCCATTTACCCTCGACATCAGGAGGAGTCGGGGACGATGCCAACACCAGCCGCAAGCGATGATGAAATTCTCGCTTGCAACTTTCATCAGATAACTGAGACCAGGCCACTATGGATTTGAATGGGGTCCTGGGTGTACACCCACCACCGGAGTGGAAGATTGGCAGGCGCATCTTACAGATGACTAGTCGATGGTCAGAGGGCAGATCAGCTCCACGGTAGGTCCTGGTGTCAAGGACATGGGCTCGCATCCGCTGCTCCATCACTATGTAGTCCAGCAGATGTTCTTGCTTGGACCCGGCGTGCATCCACGATGTTGTGTGGATGCGCCAATGCCGGAAGAGCGTGTTGGTAATGGCAAAACAACCCCCTACCTCCTCATGGTGCCGGACGGGAAATGTAGTCGTGGACAGTGCCGTGGGGGGAGGGCCAATTCCGAGTGGCCTTTCCCCTCAGGGCGTTTGAAGCCACCACAGAGGCTAAACGGGGGCTCTGGACGGGTGCGAGGGGCTGGTAACCCCTCCACCTTCAATAAATTACCACTAAACCACATCTAAAATATCTAATTAATAAGTTTGTGCCGGAGGCCCCGGGGGGACAGGCGTCCGTGACGTCTCCTTGCCAAACCCCAATTGGCGGAGCCAGGAGACTAAATCTCTACCCTCGGGGCTCCTCCAGGAGCAACAAAAAGCCACTTCGTGTGGCCACATGGAATGTTCGAACGCTCGCCGCGGAGGAGAGGCTGCCGCCCCTCTGTCGGGAGCTGGACCGGTACCGCCTGGATCTCTGCGGCATTCAGGAGGTCCGGTGGACCGGCTCTGGCTCCTGCCACCATGAGGGGTGGACAGTTCTATACTCGGGGCAGCAGACTGCCAAACAACAGGGTGTGACACTCAGACAAAGATCCCCCATATAGCCTTAACAGACTGTAGGGGCAAGTGCTGTTAGCGAGCAGCGTCTATGAAGGCCGGAACGGTACACGAGGGGGTGGGTGGCCAGCACCACGCCCGACCGCCTTTGTCTCTCCAGTGGCGATGTTTACACACCGCACCAGGTACTCATTTCAGGCTGAGTCGACCTAGGGGAGGCCCGGGACCGGTTCAGATAATCGTCACTGCTGTTGGCCGTGAGCGGGAATCGAACCCGGGTCGCCAGGTTCATAGCGCAGTGTAGCGTTAACCGCTACACTATCGCTCCCCACAGATCTTAGACACACACACAGACACACACACACAGACACACACACACAGACACACACACACACAGACACACACACAGACACACACAGACACAGACACACACACAGACACACACACAGACACAGACACACACAGACACAGACACACACAGACACAGACACACACACAGACACACACACAGACACACACACACAGACACACACACACAGACACACACACAGACACACACACAGACACACACAGACACAGACACACACAGACACACACACAGACACACACACACAGACACAGACACACACAGACACACACACAGACACAGACACACACACAGACAAACACAGACACAGACACACACACAGACACACACAGACACAGACACACACAGACACACACACAGACACACACGTACGCACGTGGTAATTTGTGTCAATGTCCGTTTTTATTGTCCACTATCCATCAAAGTTCGATTCCGCTTGCAAACCGCGTGTTAGAGGTTGCCCATTCCCCCCCACAGCGAACAGAAAAAAAAAACACAATCCGTGACGTCACAAAGGAGGCCGTCACCGCCCGACAATGACGTCACCGTCAGTGCGCCGGTGACGTCCACGTCTTAGGCGGTGACCTCACGCGCGTCGCAAGCCACGCCCCCCGGTGTCACCGATATCGTTTGCGCGGTTGTGTGCGATGACGTCATTCGCTCTCAGAATCGCTCAACGTTGCGGACGCTACGCGATGACGTCACCACGTAATGTTTTTTGAGAACGTGCGCGATGATATCACGGCTCACCCTCCCGTTGGTTGCCTGCGCTATGACGTCATTCGCTATCAGAATCGTTCAACGTCGCGGACGCTACGCGATGACGTCACCACGTAACGTTGTAGACGACGCGATGACGTCACCGCACACTCCTCCACACCGTTGGACACCTTCCCCCCCTCACGATGAGTCGGGAACGCCTGTACGCGATGACGTCGCCGCGAAAACGCTGTCGACACTGACGCTTGTGACGTCATCGGCACGCCTTTCACGAGTCGGGGGTAAAGGCCTCTTCGCGCGATGACGTCGACAGCGTCACACGCAAGGTGGGGGGGCGGGGCCGGCGGGGGGTCGGGGGGGGCGGGGGGCCGGGCGGTTCGCGTCCGACGTCATCGTTCGGGTAGTGGACGTCGATCGCGCGATGACGTCATCACTCCTGGTCCTTGTCCTCTCCGTGCGTGATGACGTAACACAGGTTCTTGTAGTCGAGGTTTCCCGCCACGTCGGGAGGGAACGCGGTGAACATTTGCGTGCACTGCGTGAGAGGGGTGGTGGGTGGGGGGGTGGTGGGTGGTGGGGTGGGGGGTGGGGGGGGTGGTGGGTGGGGGGTGGGGGGTGGTGGGTGGGAGGCCAGAAAAACATAAGAATACGTTATAAATTAAACTTTTTTTTAACCATTAACAATTACGACACTCTACTTCGACGAAACCTCATGCGATCGATTAGTTGTATTTATTTATTTATTTTTAAATTTTCCGATTTTATTTTATTGGGTAAAATAAAACCTCGAGTTAATGGGGGCCGGTCCATAAATGACGTCACGCGATTTCTGACCCCCCCATCCCCGCATCGTCGTCACGCGTCGTCACAAAAAGTCAGACCCCACCCCCCCTCTCAACTATGACGTCACAAAGCTCTGCCCCTCCCTCAACTATGACGTCACAAAGCTCTGCCCCCCCCCTCAACTATGACGTCACAAAGCTCTTCCCCCCTCCGCTCAACTACGACGTCACAGCAAGTCAAACGCCCCCCCCCCCTAAACTATGACGTCACAAAGCTCTGCCCCCCCTCAACTATGACGTCACAAAGCTCTGCCCCCCCCCCACAAAATAAAAAATGAAACTCGCTTCAAATCGCTTTAAACTATTGTCGTCATCGTAACGCGAATGTGACGTGGAGCTGTACTCTGTGACGATGTAGCAGAAGACATTCATCACAAAGTCTCATTTTATTCAGTAGAACGTGTTGTCCACGTTCATTTATTCATTCTAAAAGTTGCCCATTCTGATGTGACGTCACATCTCTCACCACCCCCACCCCCCTCCCCCTCATCGTCACAAATGTCTGACCCCCACCCACCCCCCACCCCATAGGTGCGTGACGTCATTTATGGGCAGCCCCTAAGAAACACAACTTTTATAATTATTAACAATTACGATGCTTTACTTCGACGAAACGTTATGCTATCGATACGTTTCATTTATGTAAATTATTATAATAATCATCTATTAACATAACTAAAAGTATATAATCATTACAATGTTTTATACAAACAAACATTACGTAAATATTAATATTCTGAGGGAAAGAATGCAAATTAACATTGTAATTAGTAGTCAAAATCTTCTATTACAATGTTTTATACAAACAAACATTACGTAAATATTAATATTCTGAGGGAAAGAATGCAAATTAATATTGTAATTAGTAGTCAAAATCTTCTATTACAATGTTTTAATACAAACAAACATTACGTAAATATTAATATTCTGAGGGAAAGAATGCAAATTAACATTGTAATTAGTAGTCAAAATCTTCTATTACAATGTTTTATACAAACAAACATTACGTAAATATTAATATTCTGAGGGAAAGAATGCAAATTAATATTGTAATTAGTAGTCAAAATCTTCTATTACAATGTTTTATACAAACAAACATTACGTAAATATTAATATTCTGAGGGAAAGAATGCAAATTAATATTGTAATTAGTAGTCAAAATCTTCTATTACAATGTTTTAAACAAACAAACATTACGTAAATATTAATATTCTGAGGGAAAGAATGCAAATTAACATTGTAATTAGTAGTCAAAATCTTCTATTACAATGTTTTATACAAACAAACATTACGTAAATATTAATATTCTGAGGGAAAGAATGCAAATTAATATTGTAATTAGTAGTCAAAATCTTCTATTACAATGTTTTATACAAACAAACATTGCGTAAATATTAATATTCTGAGGGAAAGAATGCAAATTAATATTGTAATTAGTAGTCAAAATCTTCTATTACAATGTTTTATACAAACAAACATTATGTAAATATTAATATTCTGAGGGAAAGAATGCAAATTAATATTGTAATTAGTAGTCAAAATCTTCTATTGCAATGTTTCATACAAACAAACATTACGTAAATATTAATATTCTGAGGGAAAGAATGCAAATTAATATTGTAATTAGTAGTCAAAATCTTCTATTACAATGTTTTATACAAACAAACATGACGTAAATATTAATATTCTGAGGGAAAGAATGCAAATTAATATTGTAATTAGTAGTCAAAATCTTCTATTACAATGTTTTATACAAACAAACATTATGTAAATATTAATATTCTGAGGGAAAGAATGCAAATTAATATTGTAATTAGTAGTCAAAATCTTCTATTACAATGTTTTATAGACACAAACATTACGTAAATATTAATATTCTGAGGGAAAGAATTCAAATTAATATTGTAATTAGTAGTCAAAATCTTCTATTTCAATGTTTTATACAAACAAACATTACGTAAATATTAATATTCTGAGGGAAAGAATGCAAATTAACATTGTAATTAGTAGTCAAAATCTTCTATTACAATGTTTTATACAAACAAACATGACGTAAATATTAATATTCTGAGGGAAAGAATGCAAATTAACATTGTAATTAGTAGTCAAAATCTTCGATTACAATGTTTTATACAAACAAACATTACGTAAATATTAATATTCTGAGGGAAAGAATGCAAATTAACATTTCGTAATTCGTCCTTTATAATATAGAAATTTACAACAATAACGCAATTATACATCATAATATATAATTATTAATTAAAATAAACATTCTAATGATATAATTGTGCATCTTAACGTCATTTTTAAAATCTCCAATAAAATAGTGAATCCTTGTCGCAGTGAATGGTTTGTTTGTTTAAGTTAAAAGTTGAGGGAAATTTAATTGTAATTGCGTGCAATTGTGGTGTGGAAAGTTACAATAATTATACAATAAATATTATTTTTAAATCTTTTAACTCGTCAAAACGCAGGACACTAACATACTGAGGGAACCATTCCACGTAGTGTGATTTTGTAATCATATAGTTATTTTTATACTTTACATTTTCAAGAAAAAGGATTGTAATTGTAATGTTTATTTAATGTTGTGACTATTACACATCTCTTAACCATTGTTTCAAAGCCAATGAAATTATATACGGCATAGATGGACGAGTAAGCACGTAATTATAACCTTTTAATTAACTTAGACGTGTAATTAAATTGTTATTAATTAAAATATTCATTACATGAAATGGATATGCAAATTACTAGTCACGTGGGGAGGGGGGGGCAGAGCTCCTCCCCACGTGACCCCAACCGCCCCTCCCCCCTCACCTCCTCCTCAGTGAATCGATCAGCCTGAGTCCTCAGCATATCCTTGATGCTGTGAGGGACAATCAACATCATCATCAGCATCATCAGCAGCAGCATCATCATCATCAGCAGCAGCAGCATCATCAGCATGGCAGCATCATCAGCAGCATCAGCAGCATCAGCAGCATCATCATCAGCAGCATCATCATCAGCAGCAGCATCATCATCATCAGTATCATCAGCAGCAGCATCATCAGCAGCAGAATCATCAGCATCATCATCAGCAGCAGCAGCATCAGCAGCAGCATCATCAGCATGGCAGCATCATCAGCAGCATCATCAGTGTCATCAGCATCAGCAGCATCATCGGCATCATCAGCAGCAGCATCATCAGCATCATCATCAGCATGGCAGATAATGGGACTTCCCAGATATAAGGGCAGGGGCTAATGGGATTTCCCAGACATTAGGATGGCAGATAATGGAACTTCCCAGATATTAGGGTGGGGGAAAATGGGATTTCCCATATATTAGGATGGAGGATAATGGGATTAGATGTTAGGGCGGAGGATAAGGGGCCGTCCATAAATGACGTCACGCGATTTTGGACGATTTTTTGACACCCCCTTCCCTCCACCCTGGTCACGTGACGTCACAGCAAGTCAGACCTCCCCCCTCGACTATGACGTCACAAAGATCTGCCTCCCCCTCAACTATGACGTCACAAAGCTCTTTCCACCCACCTCAACTATGACGTCACAAAGCTCTGCCTCCCCCTCAACTATGACGTTACAAAGCTTCCCCCCCCTCAACTATGACGTCACAAAGCTCTGCCCCCCACCCCCCACAAAATAAAATATGAAACTCGCTTCAAATCGCCTTAAACTATTGTCGTCATCGTAACGCGAATGTGACGTGGAGCTGTACTCTGTGACGATGTAGCAGAAGACATCCATCACAAAGTCTCATTTTATTAGGTAGAACGTGTTGTCCACGTTCATTTATTCATTCTAAAAGTTGCCCATTCTGATGTGACGTCACATCTCTCACCACCCTCCCCACCCTCCCCCTCATCGTCACAAATGTCTGACCCTCACCCCCCCCTCACCCCATAGGTGCATGACGTCATTTATGGCGGCCCCTAACAGGATTATTGATGTATTAGGACGGAGGAAAAAGTGGCATTTTCCCGATATGAGAATGGCGGATACGGGGGACGCTTTTGCCAGTGGTGGATGTCACTCGCCCTTGGTGAATATATATTTATTTTTTTCGTTCGGGTTAAATCACGTAAATTTGGAATGCGCATTTACGTGATCTAACCCGATGATTTGTATGATTATTATTATTATTAAAAACAATTTTTTTATCGCGGATAATATTGCTCGCGAAATAAACAAATTGCTGCTGCTCCTATGACTGTCACGTGTTCAACTCACTAGTCCTGCTGGACAGTGCCCTTGCCCTCGGGGTCAAATATCTTGAACGCGTTGAGAATGGTTTCCTCAGGGTCTGTGCCTGGAACACGCAAAGACGTGGGCAGGTGACATCTCGTCGACCCGTCCGCCAAGTCACTCAGTCACTCAGTCACTCATTCACTCAGTCAGTCATTCAGTCAGTCACTCAGTCACTCACCCACTCAGTCACTCAGTCACTCAGTCAGTCATTCACTCAGTCAGTCACTCAGTCACTCAGTCACTCAGTCAGTCATTCACTCAGTCAGTCACTCAGTCACTCAGTCACTCAGTCAGTCATTCACTCAGTCAGTCATTCAGTCACTCAGTCAGTCATTCACTCAGTCAGTCATTCACCCACTCAGTCACTCAGTCACTCAGTCACTCACCCACCCAGTCACTCACCCACTCAGTCACTCAGTTACTCAATCACTCACTCAGTCACTCACTCAGTTACTCAGTCACTCAGTCACTCACTCACTCACTCAGTCACTCACCCACTCAGTCACTCACAAACTCACTCACTCAGTCACTCACCCACTCAGTCACTCACCCACTCAGTCACCCACTCAGTCACTCAGTCACTCAGTCACTCAGTCAGTCATTCGCCCACTCGGTCACTCAGTCACTCACCCAGTCACTCACCCACTCAGTCACTCAGTCACTCAGTCACTCAGTCAGTCACTCACCCACCCAGTCACTCAGTCACTCAGTCACTCACCCACTCAGTCACTCAGTCACTCACTCAATCACTCACTCACCCACTCACCCACCCAATCGGTCACTCAGTCACTCACCCAGTCACTCACCCACTCAGTCACTCACTCACTCACTCAGTCACTCACCCACTCAGTCACTCAGTCACTCAGTCACTCACCCACTCACTCACTCACTCAGTCACTCACCCACTCAGTCACTCACCCACTCAGTCACTCAGTCACTCACTCAGTCATTCACCCACCCAGTCACTCAGTCACTCACCCACTCACTCACCCACTCAGTCACTCACCCACTCAGTAACTCAGTCACTCACCCACTCACTCACCCTCTCAGTCACTCACCCACTCAGTAATTCAGTCACTCACTTTCCTACTCAGTCACTCACCCTCTCAGTTACTCACCCACTCAGTCACTCACCCACTCAGTCACTCAGTCACTCACCCACTCACTCACTCAGTCACTCACCCACTCAGTCACTCACCCACTCAGTCACTCAGTCACTCACTCAGTCATTCACCCACCCAGTCACTCAGTCACTCACCCACTCACTCACCCACTCAGTCACTCACCCACTCAGTAACTCAGTCACTCACCCACTCACTCACCCTCTCAGTCACTCACCCACTCAGTAATTCAGTCACTCACTTTCCTACTCAGTCACTCACCCTCTCAGTTACTCACCCACTCAGTCACTCACCCACTCAGTCACTCAGTCACTCACCCACTCACTCACTCAGTCACTCACCCACTCAGTCACTCACCCACTCACCCCCCCACTCACCCACTCACTCACCCACCCACCCCCCCCCCCCCACTCACCCCCCCACCCACCCACTCACCCCCCCACTCACTCACCCACCCACTCACCCACCCACCCATCTACTCACCCACCCACTCACCCACTCACTCACCTACTCACCCACCCACTCACCCACTAACTCACCCACTCACCCACCCACCCAATCACCCCCCCACTCACCCACCCACCCACTCACTCACCCACCCACTCACTCACCCACCCACCCCCCCCCCCCCCCCACTCACCCCCCCACCCACCCACCCACTCACTCACTCACCCACCCACCCACCCACTCACCCACCCACTCACCCACCCACTCACTCACCCACCCACTCACCCACCCACCCACTCACCCCCCACCCACTCACTCACCCACCCACCCACCCACTCACCCACTCACTCACCCACCCACCCCCCCCACTCACCCCCCCCCCACCAACCCACTCACCCCCCCACTCACTCACCGACCCACTCACCCACCCACCAACTCACCCACTCACCCACCCACTCACCCACTCACTCACCCACCCACCCACCCCCCCACCCCCCCACTCACCCACCCACCCCCCCACTCACCCACCCCCCCACCCACTCACCCATCCCCCCACCCACTCACCCACCCACCCACTCACCCCCCCACCCACTCACCCACTCACCCACTCACCCACCCACTCACCCACTAACTCACCCACCCACTCACCCACTCACCCCCCCACTCACTCACCCACCCACTCACTCACCCACTCACCCACTCACCCACCCACTCACCCCCCCCCCCACCCACCCCCCCACTCACCCCCCCACCCACACACTCACCCCCCCACTCACCCACTCACCCACCCACTCACCCACCCACTCACCCACTAACTCACCCACCCCCCCACTCACCCACTCACCCACCCACTCACCCACCCACCCATCTACTCACCCACCCACCCACCCACTCACTCACCCACTCACCCACCCACTCACCCACACACTCACCCCCCCACTCACCCACTCACCCACCCACTCACCCACCCACTCACCCACTCACTCACCCACTCACCCCCCCACTCACCCACTCACCCACCCACTCACCCACCCCCCCACCCACTCACCCACCCACCCACTCACCCCCCCACCCACCCCCCCACTCACCCCCCCACCCACTCACCCACCCCCCCACCCCACCCCCCCACCCACCCCCTCACCACCGCTCACCTTTGAGTTTCTCCCCGAACATGGTGAGGAAGATGGTGAAGTTCAGAGCGGCCGGTGCCTCTTTGATCATCTCGTCCAGCTCCTCGCCCTTCACGTTCAGCCTCCCTGCGAACCAACAACATCATCAGCAGCAGCAGCAACATCAGCAGCAGCAGCAACATCAGCAGCAGCAGCAGCATCAGCAGCAGCAGCAACATCAGCAGCAACAGCAGCATCAGCAGCAGCATCATTAAAAATAATATCATTAGAAACATCAACGCCTTCTTTTTAGGGTTCAAGGTGGCCGTGTGGGTGGGTGAGTGAGTGAGTGGGTTGGTGAGTGGGTGAGTGAGTGAGTGGGTTGGTGAGTGGGTGGGTGAGTGAGTGGGTTGGTGAGTGGATGAGTGATTGGGTGAGTAGGTGGGTGAGTGAGTGAGTGGGTGAAGGGTGAGTGGGTGAGTGGGTGGGTGAAGGGTGAGTGGGTGAGCGGGTGGGTGAGTTGGTGAGTGAGTGGGTGAGTGGCCGTGTGGGTGGGTGAGTGCGTGAGTGGGTTGGTGAGTGGATGAGTGAGTGGGTGAGTAGGTGGGTGAGTAGGTGGGTGAATTGGTGAGTGAGTGGGTGAGTGGGTTGGTGAGTGGATGAAAGGTGAGTGGGTGGGTGAGTGAGTGGGTTGGTGAGTGGATAAGTGAGTGGGTGAGTGGTGAGTGAGTGGGTGAGTAGGTGGGTGAGTGAGTGAGTGGGTGGGTGAAGGGTGAGTGGGTGAGTGGGTGGGTGAGTTGGTGAGTGAGTGGGTGGGTGAGTGGGTGGGTGAGTGAGTGGTGGGTGAGTGGGTGAGTGGGTGAGTGAGTGGGTAGGTGAGTGGGTGGGTGAGTGGGTGGGTGAGTGAGTGGGTGGGTGAGTGAGTGGGTGAGTGAGTGGGTGAGTGAGTGAGTAGGTGAGTGAGTGGGTGAGTGAGTGAGTGAGTGGGTAGGTGAGTGGGTGAGTAGGTGGGTGAGTGGGTGGGTGAGTGAGTGAGTAGGTGAGTGAGTGAGTGGGTGAGTGTGTGGGTGAGTGAGTAGGTGGGTGAGTGAGTGGGTGGGTGAGTGGGTGGGTGAGTGAGTGGGTGAGTGAGTAGGTGAGTGAGTGAGTAGGTGGGTGGGTGAGTGAGTGAGTAGGTGAGTGAGTAAGTGAGTAGGTGAGTGAGTGAGTGAGTGGGTGAGTGAGTGGGTGAGTGAGTGGGTGAGTGAGTGAGTAGGTGGGTGGGTGAGTAAGTGAGTAGGTGAGTGAGTGGGTGAGTGAGTGGGTGAGTAGGTGAGTAGGTGAGTAGGTGAGTGGGTGAGTAGGTGGGTGAGTGGGAGAGTAGGTGGGTGAGTGAGGGAGTGAGTGGGTGAGTGAGTGGGTGAGTGAGTGGGTGAGTGAGTGGGTGAGTGAGTGGGTGAGTGAGTGGGTGAGTGAGTGAGTGGGTGAGTGAGTGGGTGAGTAGGTGAGTGAGTGAGTGGGTGAGTGAGTGGGTGAGTGAGTGGGTGAGTAGGTGAGAGAGTGAGTGGGTGAGTGAGTGGGTGAGTGAGTGGGTGAGTGAGTGGGTGAGTGAGTGGGTGAGTGAGTGGGTGAGTGGTTCACAGTGGCCGTGGCACTCACCCAGAGCAGCGAATGTGCCCCTCAGGTCATCCTTGTCGATGAACCCGTCTCTGTTCTGATCCATGATGGTGAACGCCTGCGGGAGACAGCATCATCATCATCATCAGCAGCAGCAGCATCATCATCATCAGCAGCATCAGCATCATCATCATCAGCAGCATCATCATCAGCATCATCAGCAGCAGCATCATCATCATCATCAGCAGCAGCATCATCATCATCAGCAGCAGCAGTATCATCATCAGCATCATTATCAGCATCATCAGCAGCATCATCAGTACCATATTCCAGACACTGTGTTCAACCACCAACACTTCAGATTACAACACACTCACCCAATCACTGCCTCACCCACTGACTCACTCACCCACTCACTCACCCACTCACTCACTCACCCACTCACCCACTGACTCACTCACCCACTCACTCACCCACCCACCCACTCACTCACTCACCCACTCACCCACCAACTCACTCATCCACTCACTCACCTAGTGAGTGAGTCAGTGGGTGAGTGAGTGAGTCAGCGAGTGATTCAGTGGGTGAGTGAATGAGTCAGTGAGTTCATGAGTCAGTGGGTGAGTGATTCAGTAGGTGAGTGATTCAGTGAGTGAGTGAGTCAGTGGGTGAGTGAGTGAGTGGGTGAGTGAGTGAGTCAGTGGGTGAGTGAGTGAGTCAGTGGGTGAGTGAGTGAGTGGGTGAGTGAGTGAGTGAGTCAGTAGGTGAGTGAGTGAGTAGGTGAGTGAGTCAGTGGGTGAGTGAGTGAGTGGGTGAATGAGTGAGTGGGTTAGTGAGTCAGTAAGTCAGTGGGTGAGTGAGTGAGTCAGTGGGTGAGTGAGTGGGTGAATGAGTGAGTCAGTGGGTGAGTGAGTCAGTGAGTGGGTGGGTGAGTGAGTGAGTCAGTGGGTGAGTGAGTGAGTGCGTGAATGAGTGAGTGGGTGAGTGAGTCAGTAAGTCAGTGGGTGAGTGAGTGAGTGAGTCAGTAAGTCAGTTGGTGAGTGAGTGAGTGGGTGAGTGAGTGAGTGAGTGGGTGAATGAGTGAGTGGGTGAGTGAGTGAGTGAGTGGGAAAGTGAGTGAGTGAGTGAGTGGGTGAGTGAGTGAATGAGTGAGTGGGTGAGTGAGTCAGTAAGTCAGTGGGTGAGTGAGTGGGTGAGTGAGTGAGTGGGTGAGTGAGTTGGTGAGTGAGTCAGTGGGTGAGTGAGTGAGTGAGTCAGTGGGTGGGTGATTGAGTGAGTCAGTGGGTGAGTGAGTGGGTGAGTCAGTGGGTGGGTGAGTGAGTGGGTGGGTGAGTGAGTGAGTCAGTAGCTGAGTAAGTGAGTGAGTGGGTGAGTGAGTCAGTGGGTGAGTGAGTGGGTGAGTGAGTGAGTCAGTGGGTGAGTGAGTGAGTGGGTGGGTGAGTGAGTGAGTCAGTAGCTGAGTAAGTGAGTGAGTGGGTGAGTGAGTCAGTGGGTGAGTGAGTGGGTGAGTGAGTGAGTGAGTAAGTGAGTGAGTGGGTGAGTGAGTGAGTGGGTGAGTGAGTGGGTGAGTGAGTGAGTCAGTGGGTGAGTGAGTGAGTGGGTGAATGAGTGAGTCGGTTAGTGAGTCAGTAAGTTAGTGGGTGAATGAGTGAGTGGGTGAGTGAGTGAGTCAGTGGGTGGGTGAGTGGGTGAGTGAGTGAGTCAGTGGGTGAGTGAGTGAGTTGGTGAGTGAGTGAGTGTGTGGGTTAGTGAGTCAGTGAGTCAGTGGGTGAATGAGTGAGTCAGCGGGTGAGTGAGTAAATGAGTGGGTGAGTGAGTGAGTCAGTGAGTGGGTGAGTGAGTGAGTCAGTGGGTGAGTGAGTGAGTCAGTGAGTGACTGTGGCAGATCGCTGGGTGCTGTCAAGGCCGAGCGGACCTAGGGGAGAGACGATCCGCTCACCTCTTTGAACTCTTGGATTTGACTTTGCTCGAACATCGAGAAGACGTTGGAACTTCCACTCTCCGCCTTCTTCTTCGCTTTCTTGGGAGACTGAGAACATCATCATCATCAGCAACATCATCATCAGCAACATCATCATCATCAGCAACATCATCATCAGCAACATCATCATCATCAGCAACATCATCATCAGCAACATCATCATCATCAGCAACATCATCATCATCAGCAACATCATCATCAGCAACATCATCATCATCAGCAACATCATCATCAGCAACATCATCATCAGCAACATCATCATCAGCAACATCATCATCATCAGCAACATCATCATCAGCAACATCATCATCATCAGCAACATCATCATCAGCAACATCATCATCAGCAACATCATCATCAGCAACATCATCATCATCAGCAACGTCATCATCAGCAACATCATCAGCAGCAACATCATCATCAGCAACATCATCATCAGCAACATCATCAGCAACATCATCATCATCAGCAACATCATCATCAGCAACATCATCATCAGCAACATCATCATCAGCAACATCATCATCAGCAACATCATCATCATCAGCAACATCATCAGCAACATCATCATCATCAGCAACATCATCAGCAACATCATCATCATCAGCAACATCATCATCAGCAACATCATCATCAACAACATCATCATCAGCAACATCATCATCAGCAACATTATCATCATCAGCAACATCATCAGCAACATCATCATCATCAGCAACATCATCATCAGCAACATCATCATCATCAGCAACATCATCATCAGCAACATCATCAGCATCAGCAGCAACATCATCATCAGCAACATCATCATCAACAACATCATCATCAGCAGCGTCATCATCAGCAGCATCATCATCAGCAACATCATCATCAGCAACATCATCATCAACAACATCATCATCAACACTATCATCATCAGCAGCATCAGCATCATCATCATCAGCAGCATCATCCGCAGCAACATCATCAGCATCATCATCAGCAACATCATCGTCAGCAGCATCATCCGCAGCAACATCATCAGCATCATCATCAGCAACATCAACAGCCTCATCCGCAGCAACATCATCAACATCATCAGCAGCAGCAACATCATCATCATCAGCAGTAGTATCATCATCAGTAACTTCATCAGCATCATCATCAGCAACATCATCAGCAGCGATATCATCATCAGCATCATCATCAGCAGCACCATCATCAGCAGCATCAGCAGTTTCATCAGCAGTTTCATCAGCGGTCACACAGCCTTCTGGTGTCATTTGATGAGCATTGTTTCAGACAAAGCCTGATTCTGCTGATGATGCTGCTGATGCCGCTGATGCTGCTGCTGATGAGACAATGATAGTGGAAACCCGCTCTTTTGCCCATCAACATCTGGGCCAGTTGATCAGCATCGTTTCAGACAAAGCCTGACTCTGCTGATGATGCTGCTGATGCTGCTGATGATAATGATGCTGATGCTGCTGATGATGCTGCTGCTGATGAGACATTGAAAGTTGAAACCCGCTCTTTTGCCCATCAACATCTGGACCAGTTGATCAGCATCGTTTCAGACAAAGCCTGACTCTGCTGATGATGCTGCTGATGCCGCTGATGATGATGCTGATGATGCTGATGATGCTGATGATGATGCCGCTGATGCTGCTGCTGATGACACACAGAAAGTTGAAACCCGCTCTTTTGCCCATCAACATCTGCGCCAGTTGATCAGCATCGTTTCAGACTAAGCCTGACTCTGCTGATGATGCTGCTGATGATGCTGCTGCTGATGCTGCTGCTGATGATGATGCTGCTGATGCTCATGATGAGACACTGAACGCCGAACCTCGAGCCCCACGCGGAGCTCCACGCGCGGAGCTCCGCGCTCAGAAACCCACGCGCGCGGAGCTCCACGCGCTCAGAAACCCACGCGCGCGGAGCTCCACGCGCTCAGAAACCCACGCGCGTGGAGCTCCGCGCTCAGACCCTTACCATCGCTGAGGTCGCCTCGACGGAGTGGCGGTGGTGGTGGTGGAGTGGCGGTGATGGCGGTGGTGGTGGAGGTGATGGTGGAGTGGTGTTGGTGGAGCGGTGGTGGTGATGGAGTGGCGGTGATGGCGGTGATGGTGGAGGTGATGGTGGAGTGGTGTTGGTGGAGCGGTGGTGGTGATGGAGTGGCGGTGGTGGCGGTGAAGTGGTGGCGTTGGTGGCGACGATTTTGAAGAGGCCCTCAATGTTTATAAAGGCCAACGACGCGGTGGATTTGGGGCTATTAATGCCTCATCGCCAATTAAGGGAGGCGAGAGTCTAACCGAGGGGGTGGTGGTGGTGGTGGTGGGTGGGTGGGTGGTAGTGGGGGGGTAATGGTGGTGGGGGGGAGGGTGGGTGGGGGGTGAGGACAATGGACCCAGCCACGTGGCTATTGTTATCCGACCTTCAATCTGAGGCATTGTTGGCGTCGCGGCACGCAGGCAAAGGTCCCCTGGGTAGCTCCACGCCGGGGGAGGGAGAGTGGGGGTGGTTGGGTGGGTGGGTGGGGGTGGGGGGTAATGGTGGTGGGGGGGTAGTGGTGGGGGGTAGTTTTGGGGGTTAGTGGTGGGGGGTAGCGGTAGGTGGGGGGGTAGTGGTGGGGGGTAGTTTTGGGGGGTAGTGGTGGGGGGTAGCGGTGGGGGGGGGTAGTGGTGGGGGGTAGTTTTGGGGGGTAGTGGTGGGGGGGTAGTGGTGGTGGGGGGTGTGGTGGGGGGTAGTGCTGGGGGGGTAGTGGTGGGGGGGGTGTGGTGGGGGGTAGTGGTGGGGGGGGTAGTGGTGGGGGGTAGTCGACATCGCTAGCACTGGGGGAAGACAAAGGCGGCCGGGCGTGGTTGCTGGCCACCCACCCCCCTCTGTGTAGGTGCTAGAGGGCTACCTGGTGGAGCTTTGTCTGTGTGTGACAGCCACTTGCCCCCTACAGCCCTGCTAGAGGGCTACCTGGGGGAGCTTTGTCTGTGTGTGACAGCCACTTGCCCCTATAGCCCTGCTAGAAGGCTACCTGGGGGAGCTTTGTCTGTGTGTGACAGACACTTGCCCCTTACAGCCCTGCTAGAGGCTACCTGGGGGAGCTTTGTCTGTGTGTGACAGCCACTTGCCCCTACAGCCCTGCTAGAGGGATACCTGGGGGAGCTTTGTCTGTGTGTGACAGCCACTTGCCCCTACAGCCCTGCTAGAGGCTACCTGGGGGAGCTTTGTCTGTGTGTGACAGACACTTGCCCCTACAGCCCTGCTAGAGGCTACCTGGGGGAGCTTTGTCTGTGTGTGACAGCCAATTGCCCCCTACAGCCCTGCTAGAGGGCTACCTAGGGGAGCTTTGTCTGTGTGTGACAGACACTTGCCCCTACAGCCCTGCTAGAGGCTACCTGGGGGAGCTTTGTCTCTGTGTGAGTGAGTGAGTGAATGTAGCTTCACTCACTCACTCATACACTCACTCATACACTCACACACTCATACACTCACTCACCCACTCACTCACTTACACACTCACTAACTCACTCAACAACAACAACCGCCATTCGCCACTAAGTGGCGGTGACGTCACCACGACGCTTGTGCCAGGCTATGTGCACCCTGAGGCCACGTGAAGTGTCGAACGCCCGCTGGCAGGAGGTCACGGGGCAGACCCAGGTGCCACGGGTCGACTGACTGAGATGACTGGCTGATGCACCACCTGTGCCCCCTACAGTGCCAACCTGCTGTGCTTTAGCCACCCGGAGCTCCGCTCGTTGTTGTGAGCGTCGCTCCTCCGCCCTCCGTTGTTGTTGGAGGGCGACTGCCTCCAAATGCCCAGTAGCAGCGTCCTTCACGAGCCTCCTCCACAGAGGCCGATCTTGACACCGCTGGTATCAGTCATCGGCAAGTCCACTCAGCTCCACGTCCTCCTGTACCACATCACTCCATCTCTTCTCTAGCCCGTGCCACGCCCGCTTTAGCCCCCTCAATCCGGCCGAAACAAAAGCTGTTTCGGCATGCGGTGGCTGGGCATGCGGGCTACATGACCCAGCCATCGCAGCCTTGCCTGCCGGAGGAGCTCACCGATGGGACCTTGCCCAGATCTTTCAGGGATTTGTGAGCTCCTCACACAATCCAGTCTGGTTAAACCCAGGATGGATCGTAGGCAGGCCAACCTAAATGTTTCTAACCGGCGAGGATGTTCCATTAGGGGGGTCCACGTTTCGCAAGCGTAGAGAAGGGAGAGAATGACCGTGGCCGAGAAGACCTGAAGCTTAGTGCGGAGCGACAGACCAGGTAGCTTCCACACAGCGTTACGCAACCAATGAAAAGATATTGCCGCTCGACTGATTCGGAGTGAGACCTCTGCTGTTAAACTGGAGCAAGTCATAAGCACACTGCCCAGGTATGGGAACTCTCCACTCTCTCCACAACTGCCCCATCACCGATTGGGAGTTGTGGGGGTGGAGTGTCCGATGGTTCAAAATACCCAGGCAGGTGCTTAGTTTTGGTGGGGCTGATGGTAAGGCCCCACCTCTTAGTGGCACGCTCCAGTCTCAGCAGCAGCGTCTCCAACTCCTCCTCTGAATGAGCAGCTATTACCAAATGATCAGCATACATAACGTGGTTGAGTAATAGGGAGCCATCCCTTGACCGCACCCGGGCATCGATCAGCCTCCCATTATATCTGTACCAAATGGAGATTCCCTCGGAATCTCCACACTCACTCACACACTCACTCACCCACTCACACACTCACTCACACACTCACTCACACACTCACACAATCACCCAACCACTCACTCACACACTCACTCACTTTCACCCAACCACTCACTCACACACTCACACACTCACTCTCCCACACACTCACACACTCACTCACCCACTCACACACTCACTCACCCACTCACACACTCACTCACTCACACACACACTCACTCACTCACTCACTCACACACTCACAAACTCACTCACACACTCACACACTCACTCACTCACACACTCACTCACTCACACACTCACTCACTCACACACTCACTCACACACTCACAAACTCACTCACACACTCACACACTCACTCACTCACACACTCACCCACTCACACACTCACTCTCCCACACACTCGCACACACACTCACTCACACACTCACCCACTCACTCACTCATACACTCACTCACTCACTCATACACTCACCCACTCACACACTCACTCTTCCACACACTCACTCACACACTCACACACTCACTCACTCACACACTCACTCACACACTCACTCACACACTCACACACTCACCCACTCACACACTCACTCATTCAATCATACACACACACTAACTCACACACTCTCCCACACACTCGCACACACACTCACTCACACACTCACCCACTCACACACTCACCCACTCACTCATTCAATCATACACACACACTAACTCACACACTCACCCACTCACTCACACACACACTCATACACTCACACACTCACTCACACACTCACTCACCCACTCACACACTCACTCTCCCACACACTCGCACACACACTCACTCACACACTCACTCACTCACACACTCACACACTCACTCACTCACACACTCACACACACACTCACTCACTCACACACTCACCCACTCACTCACCCACTCACACACTCACTCTCCCACACACTCACTCACTCACACACTCACCCACTCACTCACCCACTCACACACTCACTCTCCCACACACTCGCACACACACTCACTCACACACTCACCCACTCACTCACACACTCACACACTCACTCACTCACACACTCACTCACACACTCACTCTCCCACACACTCACACACTCACTCACCCACTTACACACTCACTCACTCACACACTCACTCACACACTCACACACTCACCCACTCACTCACCCACTCACACACTCACTCACTCACACACTCACGCACTCACTCACACACTCACCCAACCACTCACTCACTCACACACTCACTCACACACAAACCATTCACTCACCCACAATCACCCAACCACTCACTCACACACTCACTCACACACTCACACATTCACTCACTCACTCACACACTCATCCAACCACTCACTCACCCATTCACTCACACACCCAACCACTCACTCACACACTCACTCACTCACCCACTCACTCACTCACACACTCACCCACTCACTCACACACTCACTCACTCATTCACACACTCACTCACACACTCACCCACTCACTCACCCACTCACCCACTTACTCACCCACTGACTCACTCAATCACTTCTAAACTCACAAACTCACCCAACCACTCACACACTCACACATTCACTCACTCACCCACTCACACACTCACTCACTCACACACTCACACACTCACCCAACCACTCACTCACTCACACACTCACCCAACCACTCACTCACTCACATAGTCACCCACTCACTCACTCACACACTCACACACTCACTCACACAATCACCTAACCACTCACTCATTCACTCACTCACACACTCACTCGCTCACTTACCCAATCACTCATTCATTCACTCACACCCCCAAAGTACGCGTTTGGTTGTACGAGAGAGAGAGTCAGAGTGAGAGTGAGTTAGTGGCAGAGACTTCTTTAGCACCGTTATCTTAACCTCTGTAACCCCCTTTCAGTCCTGCTCGTAAGGGCTCTCACCACAGCCATCACTCAGAGACTTCAAACACAACCACTCATCACTCACACACTCACTCACACACTCACTCACACACTTACACACTGACCCAATCACCCACTCACACACTCACTCACACACTTACTCACTCATCAATCACACACTCACCCAATCACTCACACACTCACCCACTCACACACCCAACCACTCACTCATACACTCACTCACTCACACACTCATCCACTCACTCACACACTCATACACTCACTCACTCACACACTCACCCAATCACTCACACACTCACCCAATCACTCACTCACACACTCACCCACTCACTCACACACTCACCCACTCACTCACTCACACACTCACCCAATCACTCACACACTCACCCAATCACTCACACACACACTCACCCACTCACTCACACACTCACCCACTCACTCACACACTCACCCACTCACTCACTCACACACTCCCTCACTCATCAATCACACACTCACTCACTCACACACT